CAAACTGCATGGGATAGCTTTTTTTTATTTTTTTCTCATGATGTTTCCAATCAATCTTGTCACCCCGTTTCGGATTGAGGTTGAGTTCTGGGACACCCTGCATATATAGTTCACCAGGGCACAAGTTAAAATGCGAAGGCCCACAGTGCTGCCCTTCCATATAATATGTGGGCAAAAATAGAATTGTGGACGGATTTAAATGAAAATTCGCTTCTTACTAAAATTGAGGACGCTAAATTCAAAAATGCCATTGGTTTTTGGATCAGTTTCATTTTTTCACTGTAAATGCAGTTTGAAGTTGAAAATTTTGTTTTTTGTGGCTTGGCATAGGTATAGTTCGTTCTATTTTCAAAAGTGAGGTGTCAAATGGCAGTGCTTGGCCTGTAGATGTGCAATAAAGTTTTTTGTATTTTTGAAAAGCGTTTCCATCTGTTACAAATTTCATTAAAATTATTTAATAAGTTAAATGAATTAGATATTACAATATGGGTATCAACTTAACTAGATTTGAAAATACTTTACCTCTAAATGACACGTAGAAGGGTTGCCACATATTTAAAAAATCGAATTCACTTTAATTAAGGGAATAAGGTGAATGAAATATGTATTGTCGTCAACCCGCTTGCGAATTTAACGCAAGTAACGTTGTCAGAAAANTAACTAGATTTGAAAATACTTTACCTCTAAATGACACGTAGAAGGGTTGCCACATATTTAAAAAATCGAATTCACTTTAATTAAGGGAATAAGGTGAATGAAATATGTATTGTCGTCAACCCGCTTGCGAATTTAACGCAAGTAACGTTGTCAGAAAAAAGGCGCATACACAAATTTAGTCCAATGACGTATTACTTGGTTTATTTCTAAAAATGTAAAGTCTTTTTACAAAAATATAATTGACAATACTTTAGGAGTTACTTACCGCAGTGTTTCCTTTACTCGATTCCTTTGGTTGACGACTGACTTTGAGATTGACTTGCGCCAGCAGATCAACCAAATTATGGCAGCGGTAAATGAGCGAAAGACACATTGCGGTATGTATGTACACAAAAACCTAACATTAATTTGTGCATACATATTTACAATGGCAGAACTCCGCGACAAACAACTCCAATGCTTTGCCTACTTGCATGTACATATGTATACGAACAGAAAAACCAAACGAAATAGACAATACTGCATTGACCGTATCTATTGCGAGGACATACATATACATACGTGCATGCAAAGAGTTAGCGGCAAATTAAATACATGGGATACATAGATGATACTCAGTAACAAACATGTGTACATGTGTATCTCTAATAAATGAGAGTAACATATGTATGTATGTAAAGTATTTGAAATATAAATGAGAAAATCGAAATGGAATATATGAAAATGGAATACAAAAATGAAGTACATGAAATTGAAATTATGTTAAAGGCAGGAGTTCCCAACATCCCTACCCCCGTGAATCAGCCCGATTCACTACCTTCGACATCCAGAACAGCCAATTTGGAGACGGCGCGTCGCTTCTATCCACCGGAAGTAAGTACGTCAGCTCGTCTGACCTCACCATCTGCTCCCGCATACAAGCGTTCCAACTTACCTCGGCACCATTCCCGGCGAGGTACATTGGGATCGCATATAAAGACGAGGTCAGCTATCTGCAGAGGTTTTGCCCTCTGGCACCACTTAACCCGGCATGTCAATGTGGGAAGGTATTCCGCTATCCATCGTTTCCAAAAATGGTCCCTTAGTTGTCGGGCCAGACGCCACTGTTATCGCAGAAGGCACGTCTTCTCCAGAACTTCGTTGGCAATCGGAGTTTGCGGTGTGTTGGCTTCACCTAGAACGAAGTCATTAGGAGCCAGCGGCTGCTCATGGTTGGCATCGATGGGCAAGTGCGTCAGCGGCCGAGAATTCGCTATATTTTCCGCCTCGATGAGGAAACAGTTCAGCGTGTGCTCCCGGGGCGACGTTTTCTTCAAAGTGTGTCGTAGTACCCTCTTGACCCTCCTCAGCGTTGGTCGTCTTGCCGTGGCGAGGGGGCTTAAATGGTGTCATGGTATAATTCACAGTGTGAATTGTATCATGCCTCCATGAACTAAGAGGGAAGCCTGGTATTGAAGCCTTCGGCAATATTCCTTAACAATCCAAGCTGGAGTGTTGTTTTTATTGCTGGAGGTGGAAATGGCAGGATTACCGTACCAACACTACCCAAGCCAAGGTGTGTAGGCAACCGTGCCGATGGATGAATGGCCAGCGGGTAGTAAAAAATGGCTGGTCGCGTACGGTCCCCTCCGATGCCCGGGCAAGGTCGGTTGTAAGAAGTGCCTTCTCTACGCATCCCGGCTCTGCGGACGAGCGACTAACCCTTTCCGGACTACTCGTGGGACCACATATGGAAGAACAAACAAAAAACAAACAACAAACAAACCAAAAACAGCAACATGAACAGCGTACCAACGAAGAAGGGGACGACGTAACGCTGTCAGAGGAGGAGCAGCTCCTCAAATCCCCAAAGAGAGGTAAGATGGTTGCAAGTACTCCTGGTGGCGCCAGCCATAGTACCCCAGTTGTACAAGCGCCAGAAACCAGCAGGGTGGAAGATGCCAGACAAAGTATCACCACTCTGCAAATAGTCAAAAATAGCACCGGTAGTGCCTGCCGTAGTACTCCGGACGAGCAACCAACAACCAGCAAATCGGCGGCCGTTGCAGGCAGCAATCCCGCCTCTAAGAAAAGGAAACCCTCGGGCGTGGTCATGAGACAGATGTACCAGAAGGCGCTGTATATGTTAAATAAAATTGACAAAAATGCAGCGGCCGGTACGGTACATGAGCGTGACGAGGAAGACAAGGCAAAATACATGCAAATAGTGGAAGAGTACGAAAAGTTACAGAAAGGTCGTGCAGCCACAATCGAGCCAACCGAAGCAAAGAAACGGAACCGCTCTCATAATGAAGGCGGCCAAGGGGCCATTGCAAAGAAGGCTAAGCAAGGAGGTGATGCGGAGTCCGCCGCACCCGCGAAGCATCGCTATTTTAGTGACGTCGCCAGAGATCACCTACAGGCGGCGATAATAGATGAAAATAGCAAGACACCGCTGGCAGTGCAGCAAAAATGGGTGGAGATTGATGTGAGGCTGTCGAGCCTCGTAATGAACTACGTACTCGACAACCCCGAAGGTCCTCACCCAGAGTTCGACTCGTCGGAATCCCTACGGGGATACCGGGTAGTCAAGTGCGCGAGCCAGTTCTCCCTGGATTTCCTTGCTGGATGCGTCGCTAAGATCAGCGACACTTTTGTCGGCTTGAAGCTCAAGCTGAATCCAGCTAAGGACATTCCAAGGAGACCACGTGCGCGCATTTGGCTGCCTCCGATGGGTGAACCAGGCGAAAAGTTGCTGCGGTGTCTTAAGCTACATAATAAAGACATACCGGCGATCGAGGAATGGGAGCTTATAAAGGTTGAAGAGCCAAGAAGGCCTACAAATAAGCCCATTCTGCTAGCTATTTGCGCAGAATCACTGGACGCCGTAGAGAAGGCTGACTATCGACTCTGCTTCGGTATCCGTAAGGCTAGAGTGCGGGTATTCCTCGGAGAGGTTAGCCCGGTAGAAGAAGATCCCGGGGTTGATGGAGCTGGTGAGCTTCTCATGGGTGTGAAGTTGATAGATGACCCTGAACCGGAAACTTAAAGTAGCCCAAATAAATCTGCAGCACTCCAAATGTGCTACAGATAATCTAGTTGTCCTTCTCAGTGAGGAGGATATAGACATTAGCCTAATTTAAGAGCCCTGGGTCAAGCACGATACAGTCATGGGACTAAACATAAATAATTATAAACTCTACTATAAGAGCGAGGTGGGTAAACCGCGGGCGTGTATTCTTATGAAGAACGGTATAAATGCATTCCTTTGATCTAATTTCAGCACATCAGATACAACAATGGTTAAGGTAGAGGTAATACACCCACATTCATATTCCCGAGTTCAAACCGGTTTCCTGGATGGGAGGAGGTGCTGGATCTAACCCTGTTGTCAGAGAACGACAGCGTGTCTGTAGAAGAGTGGAGAGTATCTGATAGGCCTTCAATGTCTGATCACCGTCTGATCCTCTTTAATCTGCACGGAATTTCCAACACCCCCTCGAAATACAGGAACCCCCACAGGACAAATTGGGAAAGATATAGTAACACACTTAAGCGTAAACTAAGTAAGCTCCCACTAAATACAACTGTCACTACAGTTGAGGATCTTGATAATAGAGTAAATAAACTAGAAGAGGTTATGAAGAAAGCCTTTGAAAGATCAACTCCAGTTAGTACAGCAAGAAAGAAATCCCCACCCTGGTGGAATGGGGATCTCAGAGCCCAAAGAGACAAAATAAGGAAAATCTTCAGTGATTGCTTTAGAACTAAAAACTGGGCGCCTTATAAAAGCGCCATAAGATCTTATAAAAAGGAATTGAGAAAATCTAAAACTAAATCCTGGCAATCTTACTGCTCTTCTATAGAGAACTCTAAAGACTCAGCCAGGCTCTGCAAAATCCTATCCAAAGAACACACAAATATCACACTCATTAAAGGAGAAAACGGGGTGTGGACGAACACAGCTAGTGATTCTCTAAACACGTTAGTCAAGGTCCATTTCCCGGGATGTATTCGACATCCACCCACATCAAGGTCAATTGAACCTGGTTCAACTAGCAGTATACTGTTGAACTCGATCGTGAGCAGGGAAAAGATTATCTACGCTATTAACAGCTTCTCTCCCTTCAAATCCCCTGGACCAGATGGCGTAATCCCAGCAATGCTCCAGAGAGTGAAGGAAGAGATGGCACCGTTACTTGAGACTATTTTTAAGGCTACTATCACCTTGTGCTACATTCCTGAAAAGCTGGAGAAGGGTAAAAGTCGTGTTCATACCCAAGCCAGGAAGGAAAAACCTCGAAATAGCAAAAGATTTTAGACCCCTAAGCCCTTACCTCCTTTGTGCTCAAAACAATGGAAAGGCTTCTCGACATTTACATAAGATCGCTGTTAGGTGAAGCGACACTCTCAACAGCACAACATGCATACATCAAAGGCAGATCCACTGAATCTGCTTTACATGAACTGGTGAGCCTAATAGAAAGATCGTTGCACTTTAAACAATATACTCTGGCGGCATTTCTTGACATCGAGGGCGCATTTAATAACATTGACGTTGACACCATCATAGACTCTTTGATAGATATTGGTGTTGACGACAGTGTTTGTAGATGGATACGATCGATGCTAGTCAATAGAATCATTCAGGCAACAAATGGGGCTAGCTCTATTATACATCATGTGAACAGGGGCACTCCACAGGGCGGAGTGCTCTCACCACTGCTATGGGTGATAGCCCTGAACGGTATATTGCTAGAACTCAATAGAGGGGGAGTCAAAGTTGTGGCGTATACGGATGATGTTGTAATAGCAGCCACAGGTCCATTCCTCTCTACCGTTAGCGAAATCCTTGAAGGAACCCTGGGAAGGCTGCATGCCTGGGCTACGAGAAGCGGCCTAAATGTGAACCCAGCCAAGACAGAACTTATCCTATTTACAAACAGACACAAACTACCACAATTCAAGCTACCATCGCTAGACGGCAAGGCGCTCTCATTGACCCCCAGCGCAAAGTATCTTGGAGTCGTGCTGGATAACAAACTTAACTGGAAAGCCAATGTCGAATTCCGTAGACAGAAGGCCTACATAGCATACTACACTTGTCAGAGAATCTTCAGTAGAAACTGGGGACTAAATCCTAAACTTGTGATGTGGATGTATACCGCGATCATAAGACCAATTCTAACATACGGCGCCTTAGTTTGGTGGCCCGGCCTAAGCAGACAATATAATGTCAGCAAGCTAAGAAGCATACAAAGGGCAGCAAGCGCAGGAGTAACAGGCGCACTAAGATCCTGCCCGGCAGAAGCTTTAAACGCCATCCTCAATTTAATTCCTATTGATCTCCACCTGAAAGAAGTGGCTATGAAATCGGCGGTCAGACTCAGAGAGTCGGGCCTTTGGAGGACTAGACACTTCGGACATGGGTTGATCATAAATCAAATGCAATTAAATAGGACGACAGATTATATCGTAGGCAATTTGGACTTCAGCTGTAACGTGCAAGTGCTATTCCCATCCAGAAGGGACTGGAGAAGAGACCGAGTGGCCTACCGAGAGAAGATCTCTCTATACACCAATGGATCCAAGATGGATTGCGGTGTGGGAGCAGGTGTCTACTCCAAGGAACTCGGCGTGGCTCTGTCTCTACGGTTGGGAAATAATACAAGCATCTTCCAAGCGGAAGTCCTAGGGATCCTAGAAGCCTGCAAAATCCTAGGCAATAGAGTTGGACACAGCGGTAAAGCAACAATATACTCTGACAGCCAGGCGGCGCTATTGGCAATAGCGTCACCGGTTACCAAATCCAAGCTAGTTGGGGAATGCAAAGTAATATTGCGCTCAGTGTCTCAGTCAAATACCGTCTCTCTTGTCTGGGTTCCCGGACATAGGAACATAGAAGGCAATGAGAAGGCGGATGAGTTGGCGAAGGCAGGAGCCGGTTTGGATGAATCCCAGGCAGTGGCATTGGGTTGCCCTCTTGGAGTAGTCCAAAGAGAGATTACTACGCATTTCCTTGAACTGGCTAGACGCAGGTGGTCAGATATACAGACTTGCAAGATAGCGAGAAAACTATGGCCTGACTATAATAGGGCGAAAACCTTGGACCTGCTAAGCAGGTCAAGGCCAGAGGTATTTAGAATTTTAGCAACCATCACGGGCCACTGGCCCATAGGCAAACATGCGGCAAAAATAGGTCTACCCCATAATATGATTTGCCGCAGCTGTCAACTAGAAGATAGCGAAGAAAGTGTCCAGCATTTACTGTGTGAATGTCCAGGCCTTTCGAACATTAGACACAAGACGTTAGGAAAACATCTAGTAGCAGAACTAACCGACCTATCAGGAGCTACCATTAGCGAAATCGGCAGATTCATTAGACAGTGGAAATGGTTCGACCTAGCAACATAGGAAGTGCATAGACAAGATATTTATCCCCCGCGAGAAGTGCATCAAAATGGCGCAATACTGCGCTGATTGTATCCCAGGCAGCGACCAGGAAGCACTGCAACCAACCAACCAACCCTCTTGACACACTGCAACAACCGTTCCCAAGCGCCCCCCTCTGCCGGGTAGAAAAGCGAGTTAAAAATCCACTCTACGCCCCATTGCGATAGCTCACTCTGCAGGCGATCGCAATCGAATACTTCACTGACTGAAGTGCTTTGCTTCCAATACAGCACCGACGAAGTTCTTCCCATTGTCGGACCTCATACGTACGGGAACGCCGCGACGATTTATAAAGTTTCGCATTGCGACTATACATGAGTCAGTGCTGAGGTCATGGGCCAACTCCAAATGTACGGCCCTGACGGCGCGAAAAATCGGTCCAAAGTAATCAAGGCCCGTATAGCTGAACGGCCTGATATGGGGAGTTAGCCTTTCAATTGGAATCGGACCCATCAATGGTGGAACGGCGTGGATTTTCTTTAGGCGGCATAGGGTGCATTTGGCGATTACACTGCGCAGCAAACTTCTGAGGCGTGGTACCCAGTAACTGCGACGTATCTCGCAAATAGTGGCTTCCAGATTTTGATTATGCATTTTGATGTGATAGTGCATGGTGACCATATTTGTGAAATCATGCCTTGGGGGCAGTAAGGTTGGTCGTCTCGTTCATATTGGGAGGCAGCTGGCAGCATCTACGCGTCCTCGTACACGAAGAACACCATCTTCGTCAATATAAGGCGAAATTTGAATAAGCGAACTGGTGCGTGGTAAGTCCTGCCCGCTTTTGATCCACTGAAACTCCTCGGCGTATTCACCACGCTGAACAAGACGGCACAAACAAAGCTTAGCAGTCTCGACTTCTTTGGCTGTCAGCCCATAGCATCCGTCTGGCGGCGGCAAATGTCAATGAATCTTAGGAGCATGCTGTCGTCCTCAGCAGTTTGCTGAATGAAGAAAATCGGTTGTAATCTAAAATTGTAAAACTTACGATCGCAAGGGCGAATTTAGGGCGAAGTTCCTTGACAGCTTCCTCATGATGATTGTATTTGAAGCCCTCTCCCGGCCAAGCCTGCTCTTTTCGGACCAACGTGCAGATGAGCTGAAGTCGACAAAGTTATTAGCTCGAGTGGCCTCATCGGAGATATTGTCCTCGGTAGTTAGCCATATCCCATTTGCGATAGAAGTTGCGGCTAATATCGCGGAGATCCGATGCTGCACAAATGGCTTATAGCGCCTATGTTCACTGAGAAGCCACTCGATTACTGTTTTGGAGTCACTCCAAATGATGCAGTCATCAATGTCAAAGGAGTGCTCCTCCCGGACGCAGCTCATCAAACGCGTACCCAGCACGCCTGACTGAAGCTACAATCGAGGCACCGTCAATGACTTCATCGGCGCGTATTTGGTTTTTGCGCAGATAAATGCGACTTCCACCTCACCGACGGCATTGGTTGACCTCCAGTAGGCCACCGCAGCAAAGGCATCCTCGCTAGCGTCGACGAAGACATGCTTTAGGTTTGCCGTTTCGAAAATAGTACCGAGGAACGACATATTCGGCGACCGTTGGCAGTTGCTTACGCCATCCTTCCCAAGCGGCGTTTACGTTTTTTGGCAATGGTTCATCCCTCCGGATGTCATGCTTCCACACTTGAGGATCTTAGTGCTCACTATAAAAATGTTCAGAAATCCCAGCGGGTCGAAGATTGACATGACCACGCTGAGTAGTTTCCGCATCGTCGGACGGCGGACTCCGTTCAATACGTTGGAGTCTACGTTGCTGAACTTCAGTTTAAATCCAAAGGTGTCGGTCGATGCCTGCCAAAACAAACCGAGAACTCTGTACACCAGTACTCCTTCCTTGTTGGCTATTTGACGGGTAGCTCCGTCACCGGCAAGGGCTACTGACACTCTTGACGAGTTTGACGCGAAATTGCATAGATCGAAACTGGCCATCTTGTGTATTGCTCGGACTTGTTTCGTGATGTCATCTGCTTCTTCCTCTGTGTCGAAGCTATCGACATAAGGGTAGTCCAGTATCGATTTCACGGCTCGGGCAGCACCACTGACTTTGTTGCAATACTCTAACGCGTTGATCGTCTTCACATAGTTGGTAGCGCAAGGAGAACATGCTGCTCCAAAGGTCATTACGCGCATCTCATACACCTCGGGTTGTCTGGGGGCATCACTATTGCCTCACGTTGAACCAGCACCTGGTGGAACATCTCTTTGATGTCACCACACACGCCTATTGCTCCTTCACGAAGGTGGAAGAGTATAGAAGGTAAGGGCCCATATTCCTGTGGACCCTTCATGAGCTTTGAATTGAGGGACACACCGTCCACCTCAGCAGACGTGTCGAACACCATTCGTAGCTTGTCTGGATTGTTGGGATTGCTAACGGCGAAGTGAGGCAAGTACCATGTCCTTGTAGCTGTGCGTCGGGACGCTTCCAGAGCAGATCAGTCTGGTATCTTCCTTCAACGCGGCATATAGTAGACCTCAAGACTTCGCGAGCATGAATATCATCCTCATTCTCGATGGCAGGTGCAGCTCGAACCCCAAAGATTTCCGTCTCGAAGTATTCGGCAACCACATTGTGTAGAGACAGGTCAGTGTGGCAGTTAACGAATAAACATGATGGCAATATCGGATAAGAGTTGGTTGTTGGTCCAAACACAACCCATCCCAACTCAGTATTCGCGGCGAACGGCCCACACTTGTCTAGCTACATTGTGGTTGACGGCAAACCAAGGTGGCAGTGGTCGAGTCCGATTAACAGCTTTGGCTTGACTTGCGCGTATGGCTGAACTATCAGCTTATTTAAATGTCTTTCATGGCAACGTAAATCGGCTTTACTCAGGGTCTGAGAGGGAAGCTGCAGGTTTGAAACGCCATAGACCCTTCGTAGGTTATGTTTCTTTTGCATATGGCACCGCTCACGAGTAAGTCCACCACCACGGCTGGCTCTTGGGTGGCACGTCCTCCGAAGGTAGGTTCAAGCATTCAGTCCGGCCACGTAACCAGAGCTCTTCAATTAGTGTGTTCTTAACGCGCTTCTTGTTTCCATGCAGCACGACCGGCAGAATCCGAAATAACAACTTGCTATCGACAACGTTTGCACTGCAACTAAGGACTGCTGCACCCGTATCGCCTTGCGGTTGAATACGCGACGCTGGCTGCGTCTGCGTGCTAATACCTTTACACGGATCGGCAATGGAAACACGTCTGTTGCGATCTCGAAGCGGCAATGACTGGTTTGACGACCCGTCGATAGTGTTTTCAGTTTCGTGTAACAATTTATGATGCACCCGTCGGTGGCACATGGTTTGCGCCGTTATTGAGACACGAAAAACAGATATGACGTCGTTTCACTTCTTCCCACCTCTTCGGCACTGTAAGTTGGATGAACTGGCTACAGTCGGCTGGCTTATGTTGGCCCTGGCAAATAGGGCAGGTTGGATAGCGTTGTGATTCGGCAGCGTGCAGCACAACCCGGCGCTTCAAGTCTCTCGCTGCTTCCCCATCGTAAACCGTGCAGATGACATGCTGAAATGCTGAACCGTTGCATAAGGCTGCAAAGATGATGCGAAAACTGTCTATTCGATACGCTTGCTCATGGGTAACTTTCCAACGAGCTCATCGACGAGCGTTGGATTCGCTAAATACTGCCCTCCGCCACACGCAGAACATAAAAAGGCACAAACGTTGCCCATCTTCATCGCAAATGGTATCAACTTTACCACTGAGCTTTCCGATATCGGAGCAATTTCTCGAACATGGGCTAGCTGGCTTGGAATTAATTGCTCGGGGCGACCGTATCAGAACTTAAGTTGCTCGATGATATTGCCCACATTGTTCGAGTGGATTAGCAGGGATTTAATAGCTTCTCGGGCCTCACCCCTTAAGCTCTTCTGCAGAATTAAGTTGTTTTCAAAACAGCTGTACCCATAGACAGCGGTTGACTCGGTGTAAGCAGTAAAAAATATAGGCCAGTCCTCCGGCTTCCCACTAAACTCTGGCACATCTTGCAATTTTCTTGGCTGTGTTGAAAACTGCACAGGTACGGAACCTACGTTAGCAGGGATTGGCACCGTTGACGAAAGACTGCTAAGAAACGCGTTGTGCGGAGGCAAAGTCGAGCCGGGGTTCATACCATTTGCTGTTGTTACCGCTGAACCATTTGTTGAAGATGTATAAATAGGCGGCGAGAAACGAGTGGCAGTATACATCGGGTAACGTGTAGCGTTATGTGGTGGCAGCAGCGGCTGCACAGCATCTACATTGGTAGCAGCACTCGTTATTATCGGCGATTGCGGCTGGAACTGTGTCATTGGCAGGCTCGATGACGGCAAGGCAGATTCGTTATCGGAACTGTCGCAGGGTGCACTGCCTATGCTTTGCGCATCTGCACGTTGGACTTCGTTTGCTAACTCGTGTTCTCTTACTTTCTGTTGGGCAACCTTCAGGCTGCGTTCAAGCGTGGCGATGCGTTTCTACATANTTTGCACTGCCTATGCTTTGCGCATCTGCACGTTGGACTTCGTTTGCTAACTCGTGTTCTCTTACTTTCGGTTGGGCAACCTTCAGGCTGCGTTCAAGCGTGGCGATGCGTTTCTACATAGCCTAAAGCATCGCTTTCTGTTGGGCGGCAGATGAGGCACGAGTACTAACTCTCTCTGCCCCGGGAGTGTTTGGCAAATCAATGCGAAATTCGACGTTTCAGTCCCACATACAAATAATTCCAATAAGAACAGTTACAGTTCACTGCAAAATAAAGAAATTGTCGTCAACCCGCTTGCGAATTTAACGCAAGTAACGTTGTCAGAAAAAAGTAAAGTCTTGTAAATGTAAAGTCTTGTTCCAAAAATATAATTGACAATACTTTAGGAGTTACTGACTGACTTTGAGATTGACTTGCGCCAGCAGATCAACCAAATTATGGCAGCGGTAAATGAGCGTAAGACACATTGCGGTCTTAATACTTCATTCAACTTAAAAAAAATGTAATCTAACTTTTTAACAATCAAATTTTTTAGCAGGTGGCAATTCTTTAAAAAAAATAAACCTTCTATTGTCAACAGGTCAAGCTTTTTAATCTGACATTTCATTTTTGAAAATGGAACGAATCGTGCAGATCTCAAGGCACTGACAATAAATTAGAAGATAATTTTATGCATTAACGAAAAACGCATTACTTCAGCAAGTGCAAAAAATTAGCAGGTTTTAATTTCTTCTTTTGAAAGCTAAAAGCCCGTGCTATTTATTAAAATAATAAAAAATAACCTATTTTTGCATATATTTTTTATTCATTCCATTCAAATTTAGAATTTTTTTGAAATTTTGTTTAAAAAAATAATTTTTTTTTGAACACCGCAAGGACACCTGTGTTTAATTTTATTATGAAATTTTAATTCCTGCAATTCTCTACTATCTATATAGGAACAAGAAACGTTAAACCAACATTTTATATCAAAGAATACATTTTTAGTATTTTTTTCTGTGAAGAGCTTACGCAAGGTTATGCTCTTATTAAAATTCTTAGTATAAAATTTGTCGACTTTAGTGGCTTCCTGGCGGCATATAATTAATTTTTTAGGGAAATGTCTGTTTAGTTCTTTTTAGTGGATAAATTGTCTTTACAAAAATACGAAACAATTTCACATTGTAGATAAGGAATTTTTCGATTTTTGTCCACTTAGGCGGCACTTTGTAACGTGGCATTGCTCACAAACAGCGTTTAAAATCCCACATCACCGATCAAGCATCAAGTCTACTTAAAACGACTGCGCAGCGTAGACGGCTCAATTGGAGAACTGTATCAGACCTGATGGAAAGCGAATAACGGAAATGTAACTTATATATTTGTCTACAAGTGTATAAGATACACAAAGCTTTTCTTGTATCTCTTAATTTACTCGATACAAATTGCTTGTTAGTATTATTTTTGTATGTACATACATATATACTACACTAAGAAAAAGGATTAGTTTCGACAACTAAAGATATTTAGTTACCGAATTTTGACAATATTTGGGAACTGTTACCAAGTATTGGGAACTATTACCATGGGTTGGTAATTTGTACTAAATATATTGAAACTTCTAATATTCATCTAGGTTGTACCAAATCGTTAATTTAGTTGAAGGGTTTGATAAATCCCAATAAATATTTTTTGAAGCATATTTCTACAAATTCCATTCAACTTAAGGTATGGTTCATAAAAGGATATCATTAAGCTCTGATAATACAGATAAGCATTCTTTCAACACATGGTTTGGTCATAGTTACCAAATCTTAGTTGAAGCAACCACGATTTGATTTGAGAGCGGAACATATTCATGCTTGTGAGCCACCCCTAAATAATGCTGAGCGCTCTCTGAGAACATGTGTGTTTCACATGCGAAGAGCGCCAGCTGAGCAATGCACACAGTCCCACTTAGTGAATGCGCTAGTATGCCGACCATTGCACAAAAACACCCTGCAAAAAT